GGGAGGCTGAGGCAGGAGGATCGCTTGAGCCCAGGAGTTTGAGGTTGCTGTGAGCTAGGATGCCACGGCACTCTAGCCCGGGCAAAACAGTGAGACTCTGTCTCAAAAAAAAAAAAAAAAAGATGTTAAGAGGGGGCGGAAGAAGATTCAAGAGAGGCTGAAGGACGCTAGTGGAGATGGGCAGAGATGAGCTGGACTCAGCCTGTGCCTGGCCTGGCAGCTTGGGAAGGAGTTTCCACTGAGTCTAAGTCCCATAGGAAAGCATTGGTGAGCTTAAGTGGGGACTAAATCCCAGCTTTGCCACTTTCTAGTTATTTTTTTGACCTTCAGTACCTTCATCTGTAAAATGGGTGTAATAACGGTGCATACCTGATAGGGTCCCTGGGAGGGTGAACTACACGGCACCCGGTAAGTACTATTATTACCATCATTATCATCATCATCACCATCACCACTATTCCCCAGGGAGCGAGATGCCCGTGTGAAGAGGAAACTGCGGGGCCCAGAGCCAGTAGCCACAGAGGCCTATGGGAGTGGAGGTGAGTGTAGTCCCAGTGGTGATCAGGCCTGAGACACTGATCCTCCTAGCCCAACCTGTCCCTTCTGTCTGCCCAGAAGCACCAGGTGGTCCCTGTGACTCCACCCTGGGTGGGGACATTCGTGAGACAGACCCGGAGAAGGCCCCAGCACCCCGGGAAGCTGCCCCTGCCCCAGTTCCTCCATGCAGTGGCCCCAGTGCTGAAGCCTACCTCCTGCACCCTGCGGCTTTCCATGGGGCCCCCAGTCACCTTCCAACCAGGTGAGTGGGTCAGAGGCACAGGGCAGGGCTGTCCCAGGCTTGAGGGTCCCTCTCCCCTGTTCTGACATCTCTCTCCACTTTAGGAACCCCAGCTTCCCAGAGGCTCCAGACTCTGGGCACCCAGCCCCCTACTCAGCAGCATTCCTGGAGCTACAGCCAGGACCAGGGGGCTCAGGGTACCCAGCAGCTCCCCCTGCAGCGTCCTTTGCCCCCCACTTCCTCCAAGGGGGCCCCTTCCCCCTACCGTACCCTGGGCCTGGGAGTTACCTGGATGTGGGCTCCAAGCCAATGTACTGAGCCACTGCCGGGCCCCTCAGCCTCCCTCCATCTCCCATCACAAACCTCCAGTTCCCTTCCCCCAGCCCTGTAGCCCCCTCACTTCCACTGGCCCCATCCCCCACACCAAATGGCTGCCTTGGCCCTGCCCCCCATCCCCCCACTTCACACCTTGATTTCATTCCCACCCCCCTCTGGCTTCAAAGCTCAGGCTGGGCTGCTGGGAGTCCAGCTGGGGCCAGCTTCCCCTTCCCAGCTCTCACCTCCGTGTGAATGGAGGGGGGCTCTGCCTGGCCAAATGGGGCCCACAGACCAGCATCCCCACCTCCTGGGCCTCCTCATCACCACTCGTGCAAGCCGCACCAGTCTGTTGTTCTCAGGGCCGGAGTATTTTTGTTAATAAAACTCAAAAAGACATCAGTGCTCAGGAAACATTGGGCTAATGGTGTTTGGCCCTGGGCAGGGCTGGGTGAGCAAAGGCTTTGTGGGGAGACCCAGGCCCAGACCTGCCAGTTTCCTGCTGCTTGACTTTGTGCACAGAAATCCGCTTATGCACATAAATCGACCAGCTCTGGGCCTATTTCCTCATCAGGAAAGTCGGGGAATCTGAATCTTATAACATTTATGTTTGGAGAATTGAATAGGCTGCCTACAAGAACCCAGCCCTCTGCATAGCACTGAGGAAAGCCTTTGGGGAGGTCACTGGCTGGGCCCTGGGGGCTCTGGGCAAGCTGACTGGCCTGAGCCTCTGAAGGCCCTGAAGTCCACCCCAGGTCCCAGGCCATCAACCCTGCACGTCCCCAACCAGGTCTGACACAAATCCAAAGATCATTTTTCTTCTTTTATTAGAATTTTTTTTTCATTTTTTCTCAAAATTTTTATCTAAAATCAAACAAAAAAAAGGAAAAAAAGAAAAACAAAAAAATTATTGGAAACTTCATGGTTCAAGTGGGGAGAAAGGAGAGGAGGAGGATGGAGCGAAGGCCCCAAGCCTCTCCAGAGAAAGTCCTCACCCTTGAAGTGCCCTCTGGGGGGCAGAGCAGAGCCAGGGACAGCCCCACACCCAGCCTCCATCTGGGGAACAGGGCAGAGTCACAGTGGTCCGAGGGCCAGAAGGGTTGGAGGGGCAGGGGCCAAGGGGTCACAGGAAGTAGTCAGCCACAGGCTTCTTGGAGGGGATGCCCCGAGTCTCTTGGGGTGCGGCCTCGAAGATGATGAAATCTTTCTGGAGATGCTCATCCAGCTCCAAGATGGCTGCCACGTTCCCACAGCTGGAAGCAGGGGGCAGCGTTAGGAATGGGTCAGGCCTGGATCCCCACCCCCACCTGGCCCATACAGCTCACCGGTAGCAGTAGTTGGGTGCTGACCACACAGTGAGCACGGTCTCATTGAAGTGCCACTTGTAACCTTCCATCACTAGTTGGTGGGCCCGGCAGATCATGTCAATGTCATTGGCTGCATTGAACTGGGCCACCACGTCACTGCCAAATAGGTAGCCGGCCCCACGGGGGCTCACACCCCAGCCTGTTGTGTCTGATGAGGAAATAAAGTAGGGTTGGGGAGAGGACATCCTCAAGGCTTCTCTGATTGCCCATTGCCCCTGAAGGTGAACAGCCTGTCTCCCTCCCTCAATCAACCAGAAGCCTGTGGGGCAGGAGCTTGGGGCCTGAATATGGCATGGGGTATTTTGGGGGCCAGCACAGCAAATGTTGGGCAGATAGGCTCCAAAGGAGAAAGAACCTCGATGGCTGGAGCCACCTCATAATCACAGTGACCATATGATTTCCTTTCCAAACAGGCACACAGAGTGAAGGAGGCACGCATAGTACACGGGAGTGTAAGGTCACCCTAAGCTGTAACCGGGCAGTCTGGGAATGGCAGTGATGGAGTGGAGGCTGCGTGTGTGCCATGCACGTGAGGGTGAGAAAGAGACAGCAGGAGCTCTGAACTGGTCCTTAGGAGACCTGGATTTAAATCTCAGCTGAGATCCGTTTGGTGGAGAACCTCGCAAAATGAGGGAGTCCCGGGGGAGGAGGAGGTATCATTCTGGGGGTCTGACCTCTGAAGAAGCTGCTGTCACGTTCTGAGCCCCCTCGCATTCAGGAGCCAATGACCTGGTCCTCAACAGCCCTCTGAGCCATGATATGCACGCTCCAGGCCATTCTCTGAGCTTGATGCAGGCCTCCCTGCGCCTCCTCGAGGGTTGCAGCCAGTTGGCAGGTCAAGGGCGGAAGCCAGTGAAGACCAGCCCTGCTCCCATTCTTCCCTGACCCCCCGGCCTGAGTGTCCCTTCACGGCACTTGCTTTAATCAGTCTTGACAAATGAAGGGTGGAGCCAGCCCGCCCCTGCCCACCTGCCCTCACCTTCAGGGTCGGACCACAGGAGGTCGCACATGGGCCCGTCATGAGGCACCTCTTGCTTTCGGTCAATCGTCCGGATCTGGTCCAGGGTCTGGATGGAGGGGGATAGGCCCCCATGCACACAGAAGATCTGCAGGGGAACAGGGAAAGGAGGAAGGGGCTGAGGCCCAGAGCCTCCTCACCTCTCCCAGGCCCGGGCCCCGCAGCTGGCCTACCTTGCCATCGATGATGGCCGACAGGCTGAGGTAGTCAAAGATCTCGGTGCAGTAGCGCCACACAGTCACCGAGCCGTATTTGCGCAGGCACTCGTCATAGAATCCGTAGACCTGGGTTATCTGGCGGCTCTCGTGGTTGCCCCGGATCAGGGTGATGCGGTCAGGATAGCGAACCTGGGAGAGCCACCAAGGAGGGCTGGTGCGCAGGCTCTATCCCTCTGCCTGTGCCCCAAATCTCAAAACCACTTCCCCGGCCCAGATGCATGTCATCTCTTGCGTGACTCGTGTGGTAACAGCCACCTCACAGGCCCCCAGTCCCTCCTCCAGAGAACGCAAGCCCGACCCCTCTCCATCAATTGCGAACCTAATGAATCCTCTTTCACCTACCAAACACAGGCACAAGTCCTCAGTAAGACACTCCAGGCCCTCTGTCACCTGGTCCCTCACCACCTCTCCCACTGAGGGATACTGTACCAAGTCATACTTGCCACTCTGTGAATGTAGCGAGCCTCTATTCCCTGCCCTAGGACGCTGCCCTGCCAGCCTCACCCTCCAGGGGCCCAATCCCTAGTCAAGGGAATGGGCTCTGACCACCCTGCCAAGCAGAATCGGTCCATCACCAGCAGCACAGCTCCAAGTTGGGGTGGCTGGAGTTAGAGATGAGGGCAGAAAGGAAGCAGGCAGGCCAGGCCTGAGGTGGCCCAGGTGTGGGGTCCAGAAGCCAGGGGTTCTCACCTTAAGTGCCAGCAGCAGGAGGAACGTTTCAACACTATAGAAGCCACGGTCCACAAAGTCCCCCATGAAGAGGTAGTTGGTCTCAGGGACGTCACCACCCACCTGGGGGAAAGGAAGAGATTCTGCTTGGTCCTAAACCACCCACTACCCACTGCGGTGGCCCATGTTCTAGTGAGGCCCTTCTTTCACAAAGGGCCCATCTCACTAGGGGCCTCTTGCCCCCACTCTACTCACTAAATTAAGGCTTCCACTCTCCCTAAAGGGGCCTTCCAGTCATCCCCCCATCACGTTCCCCAGTGTTTCCCCCACACTCACTCTGAACAGCTCCTTGAGGTCATAGAATTGTCCATGGATGTCACCACATACCTGGGGAGTAGGAAGGTGGGTTTCAACTCTCACAGTGGAAAGCCTTTGTTCCCAGGAACTATTCTCTAAAACACCCACTGCTTTAGGAGAGCCTGATCGCTCTTGGCTATGCTTCTTCTCAGGGCCAAAATTCTGCTCTTTCACCACAGGTTAGTCTGGTCTAGAATCACCCACCACCCCACACTGAATGCCAACTATTCTGTGACCAAATGCTAGACCTGCAGCCCCTGGAGGACCTGGCCCTCTTCTCTCCCTACTCCCTTTAAGCTACACAGAATGAAATTACCAACACAGAGGCACAGCGTGAGTAGAATCACTCACCAAATTAAGAGTCCTTCTGCCCTGGCCAAGAGTCTCCCCACCAAAAATCCAAAGACCCCACAACATCCAATTTTTATAGCAGGGCACCCTTGAAGATGGGGGAGGGGACAGATACAAGGAGCTTTCCAGGATCCCAGGAATGAAGAGTGAACTTATAGAGCCCACACAAGTAAGAGTAAAGTCCATGTGGCTAAAAGACCTAGCCAGGCTCTGCAGGGACAGAGGGTACTCACTGTGACTGGCGAGTCCACCCTCTGCACGTTGCTCTCCTCTACCAAGATCTCTCTGGAGACGGGAGAAGACCAGGGTCACCACAGCTGGGCCAACCCAGTCCAATTCCTGACCCTTTTTTTGAGGGGGGGAGGGGAGGATATGAGGTGGTCCTTGAATCTTCACGGGACAGGAGTAAAATGTGCAATTTCCCCAAGATAGGCTGACCGCAGCCCTCCACCGCTCAATACCCTTCCATGGCTCCCTGCTGTCAGGACAAAGTCCAAGTTCTTTGAATCCCAGCATTCAAACCTTTCCAAGTAGGCTGTGACTTCTGTAGCCTTGACACCCCCTGCTACTCCCTCTCTGGCACCCAGCACTAGAAAGCGAGTCTCCTCCTCTCCACGCAGAGCCCTCTGCTCCTACAGCACGCCCTGAGCCTGTGCCCTTGGTCTCACATAACTCTCACCAATCACAGGGCCTCCTCCCAGACTGTCCAAAGACAAGGGTAGGGCCCAAGGCAGGCCAACCATCAGATGCACCTTCAACCTAACACATGGCATTAGGTTTTGAGTGTTTCTTTACAGACAGTGAGGACTTTATTTATTTGAGACAGGGTCTCACCCTATTGCCTGGGGTAGAGTGCAGTGCAGTCATCACAGCTCACTACAACCTCAAACACCTGGATTCAAGTGATCCTCCTACCTCAGCCTCCCAAGTAGCTGGGCTTACAGCACATGTCACCACATTCAGCTAATTTTTGTGGTTTTTGTAGAGATGGGGTCTCACTATGTTGCTCAGGCTGGTCTGAAACTCCTGGCCTCAAGTGATTCTCTTGACTCAGAGTCCCAAAGTGCTAGGATTTCAGGCATGAGCTACCGTACTCAGCCAGGACTTTATTTACTTATTTCTCCTTATGGTGCAGTCTACTTCTACTTGAGTGAGCGTGAGATAAAATCACTTTCTCAGTCAGCCACCCAGTTTAAGCAGCACTGTATTTCTAAATGTTGCCCTGAGAACAGCAGCAGTGAGCATTCGAGCTAACACCATGTGCCAGGACTGTCATCAAGAGCTCTGCACAGGCCGGGCACGGTGGTTCACGCCTGTAATCCTAGCACTCTGGGAGGCTGAGGCGGGCGGATTGTTTGAGCTCAGGAGTTTGAAACCAGCCTGAGCAAGAGCGAGATCCCGCCTCTACTAAAAATAGAAAGAAATTAATTGGAC